GCTACAGTCCCCTAACAATTTCCTTCACAAAACGGTTGTCTACCCAACGCACTGCTAAAAGGGGTGATAAACAAGGTTAGCCTTTCATGAAAAGTAATCGGAAAACGCCCATCACTATCTTCTTCTTGGGGTGCCCGACTTGGAAACAGACATTGGCAACAGCGACTCATCTTTCTGTTAGGATGCTCTAGAAAACCTTATATTATCCCTGTCTGTTCCCATTGTCCATCTGTTCAAGTTCTCCAAGTAAGTTGTTCATAGCCTACCTCTGCCTCCTTCGCCCTCTATTTTTCTAGTGAAAGTGTCCTAGGAACTGTATTTGTTTCTTCAAACTTGTTTTTTGTGGCTACTTCATTTGACATATATTTATCATTCCTTGAAATTCTCAAAAGTCACCTTAGAAACGCAACTCTGTTGCATCTTGTCTTTGAAAAAATGAAATAGCCCCCCATGTTTACTTTCAGACACAACAATATTTAGAAGCAATGGAAGATCCTTTTTTGATACTGCAATTGGAATTATGTCATCAGTATGCTGGAATCAATTAACCGTTGATGTGATTTAGTTTGCCGAAGAAATGTCTAGAGGCTTTGGCCCTGTGATAAATTGGATATGTCTACTTGAATGACACCATGACAAAAATAAAGGTAAGAAATGCCGTTTCAACACTTGCGCGATGTAGTCCACTAAACCAAGCCATCCAGTGATTAATTAAAAGGGTGGTTTTGCTAATTCCATCCCATACCACCCAAAATCATGGCAATTTCGCGGCCTCTATTCCTCACTGACAGACGTTTATTCTCCAATCTAATTAACACAGTCCATATGAAAAAAGTTTCGTGCTCTAAGGAATACTAATGAGCACATAATGAAATGCTTGTCAGTGTGGTGGAATCAGGCTCTCGTCAAAATAATTAAAGTGAAGAAACTAGCATTTTTCCGCAGTTTGTGAATTTTAATCAAATTTTAGTTTTTTATCTAAACATCTTTCATTCCCATTAATTATTAAAGAACTCATTTCTGTGTGGATTTTTCAAGAAAAACGTTGAATAAAGGCACAAAAAATGTAATTTTTAGTTACCACGAACTCTTAAGCTGAGGAAATAACTAATCTTTGGCGGCCATTTTCTTAATAGTTTTACCTCTGAAAACAAGTGACACCCATTTCCTTCCTTCACAAATATCTCGACTTGTATTCAAGATAAAGGGATATTTTTTCCATCCAAATAAAGACAAGTGAACAAGCTTTAAGATGATACCAATAACTCCACATGCCCAAAAATTGACGAGAGCCTGATTCCACCAAGCTGTCTCACAAATGTTAAGTCCAGGTTTTGCGTGGTATTGTGACTGCTCTATCTTTCAATCTGTTTGAAAACATCATCAGAGGTTGCTCATTGCAGAGACAATAACTTTCTCGATTCATTTGATATTTAATGCATGCCCATTCCACCAAAGTTGATGCACCTCAATACACGCGTGAACACACTTTTACATTTCTTTGATTTCGCAGTTTTACCGTCTTATTTTTAAAGTTCAGTTTTGAGTGCCCACAGCTTAGGCGACTCTCAATATAGATAAAATAGTAATTTGTCAGATAATGCAGAATTTATTTAGCTTTGATTTAGTATGCTGCATGACTGGGTGATTACATTTTCAAGTGTCTTTGGGATTATCGTTCGAACAATGCAATGCCCGATTGGTCGTTTATACAACAAACAACTTAACAACTATCACAGCCCACGGGTACTAACTTGTTACATCATTCGAGTTGCGAGCATTGCGTTCATGAGGTCACGTAGGACTGGCTTACAGATCTGAAGCCTCGAAATATGGACTAAAGTTTGAAACGAAAGCAGTCTCAAGATACTAAGACTTTTATAAGAAAACCGTGAAAGGACAATTGAACCACTAAAAGTTGGCAAATCTGCTGAACATGTGGCAACGGTTACAGGCTTGCATGTCTCCACCACCTACAGGTTTTAGAACAGGTTTCGAGACACCAATGTGACCTGTGATTTCACCAGCGCCGGGAGACCAAGGTGACACCGAAAAGCAGGATCGCCTCATAGTTCACCAATACTGTTTGATCCGTTCCTGACAGTCGCCGAGACAACCAGGAACACTATCGGATGACCGAGACAGGCCCTGAGTACCAGAACCGTGACAAGAGCAGACTGCATTGATTCGTCAAATGGTTACATCTATGTGTAGTGCACATACCAGATGTGCTTGGCTGATACCAACTACGTCGGAGAGAGAGAGAGAGAGAGAGAGAGAGAGAGAGAGAGAGAGAGAGAGAGAGAGAGAGAGAGAGACGCTCTTGGGAAAGGTCAAGCGTCATGATTTGGGGACTCATCGCCCTAAATCAAAGACCTGAACCTGTGTTCTACTAGAAAAAGGGTCATGGACAAGGAGCTAGGGCCAGAGCTCAGCGCTACATTGACCAAATTCTTCAGCCTCATGTGGTGCCCTTTTTCTAGAGGCATCTAAATTTCTTTTTTCCAGCAAGAAAAACGTTTTGCCCCAAAGTCAAGATCACAGAAATAACATAGCGAGGCTAAAAACGATTAAAACAGCCACTTATTGACACTGTCATGGGGGTGTAAATTGGAAGAATTAAAATTTCATTTGCACATTACAAACCACTGTTGAGTGTAGTGTGTTTTATTCATGCTTTAGTTATTCGCCTATTCGCTTTCCTTTTGACTGAGTTGTATATTATATGTGGCACCACGCGGTGGAACCAGGCTCTCGTCAATTTTGGGGCATACGGAGTTGATGGTATTATCTTAAGGCCTGTCCATTTTCCTTGCTTTGGGTGAAAATAATGTCCACCTATGTTGAATAGAAGTCGCCATCTGTGAGATTGAAGGGTGTGAGGGTCATCTGGTTTCAGAGGTAAAATTCAAAGTTGAGTTCTTTAGCTTGAGAGTCCGTGGAAACTGAAAATTTACATTCTTCCGACTTAAATCAACTTCTTTTTCAATAAAAATCCACACCGAAATGTGCCCTTTAATGGGTATGAAAGTTGTTGAACCGAAAAACAAAAGTTCGATAAAGATTCCCCAAACTGCAGGAAAATGCGAATTTCTTGACTTTCATTATTTTGACGTGCACCTGATACTTCCTCGTTGCCTCACACACACACACACACACACACACACACACACACACACACACACACACACACACACACACACACACACACACACACACACACACACACACACACACACACACACACACACACACACACACACACACACACACACACTTATGCCAAAGTTATAGATTCGAAGACTGGCGATTCCGTTAGATCTAATCATAGGTCACACAAGCGCTCCTATTGCGCTATTCTCAGTGAATTTAGAAAATATATTTGACAAAATGTTCCCGTCCTTCTTAGGCATTTGTGGTTATTCGACTGAGAAACGAAACAAATCTGCATAGCTGTCCCTTGACAGCGGAAGTGCCGTTAGTGATATTTCGCGATGCGCATTTTGTTTTTGAGAGTATAGACCTAGACGTTCTAATTTTTTTCATCTCTCAAGTTTTACTGTTCCATTCCAGTAGAGTGTAAATATAGTAGGCCGATGACTTTCAGTTGATGTTAATACACCGACCATTCCTTTCATTGAAAGGGGGCCCAGTTAGTACAGTATATCTGACGTGTGTCCTTGAATAACACACTACTATAACCAAAACTCGAAAACAGGGTGCTGCTCATTGGCGACCAGAAATATACTGTGTGGATTGTCTATGCGTACTTTTCATGTATTTACTCAAGGCCATCAAGAAAGTGGAATTTATATCTCTATTTAGTCAATATATTCCAATGAAGTTGTGACACAAGACTCGTCAATTAACTGCTACTATAGTGACGGTCGAAAGCCGTGCGTGATTTTCTGGGTTGTGGTGCTAAAGGCACGCTCATGGTGGCAAGTAAAATTATTTCTTCGACATGAAACAAGTATCGCAGTCTAATGGACTTCGGAGTCCGACAAGCAATGGTAAATTTTATCGTCCCCCACTTGAACCAATAGGCTATGCATATTAAGGGCATGTGTACGCGACATTTTGGGCCGCTGTTATCTCGAAAGTATTTTCACGCGAAAAAGGGCAGATTAATGGTATTAATTCGAACTAGGCTAAGCCTAATCGAGTAGTTATTTTCTGCGTTTTGGACGAATCTGGGGGGTTGGGGGGGGGGAGGGGGGGGGGAGGGGGGCAATGACGCCTGAAATGTTTAAGAAATCTGTGGACCCCTCCTGTTTTCCCCATAATTTGATGTTTTGAAATTGGGTTTGAAATTTACTTAAACATAATTAATTTGCTATAGTTTTAGGTGGCCATTCGTGTGACCTGCAGAAAGGATCCCAAAACAAAACAAAACAACGCAAAACAAAACAAAGCAGTCACTTGACCCCCACAAGCAGAGGTATTTATCTTTTTTGAGACAATAACAAATGACAACTGATATTAACAAATAAGAACTGGTAACAACAAAATAACGACAAATATCAACACAAACGAATTAATTATTTTTTTCCCCTATAAATTGTTACTTTCGATTTGAATGTAACACCCCCCCCCCAAAAAAAAAGGGACGCAACTCCGCCGGTCATCGCTAAAGAATAGTGTATTTCCAGTAAGTGCTCGGATTTGTGCACATAAAGTAGGGACCTGGTTGACCACATGAATATTGATTTTTAAAGCTGGAATCAAATTATTTTTGTGCTATCAGTGATTTTTTTGTTTGTTACCAGTTGTTATTTGTTGTTATCTCGACAAAGATAAATACTCAAAAGCAGTGTATCTGTGCTCCACAGTGAAATTACAAATGTACCGGCTGCCCTTGTTCCTAGTTACCTGTACGGGAACTAGGCTAGGCCTATGTACTATGTACACTGTAACTGAGTTTCGTTTTTGGTATTACCATACCGTAAATTGTATGCTTTGGGTGTTCTTAATTGTAAACATATTGATTCGTTACTCACAAGTTGTAGAGTAAGATGTCTGGTAGCCATATCTTGTCCGACGGTATTCTGACGTCACTGATGTTGTCGTACTGTTCTTTGTCCCAGCGAAGCAACATGTCATTCCAGTTCTGAATTAAAGGCAAATACATTAGGTAATAGAAAATGAATATATACCACCATTCGTTACGCGCACTCACAGGCACACACACACACACACACACACACACACACACACACACACACACACACACACACACACACACACATACACACACAAAGACAGAAAGAAAGAGAGGTAGATAGATAGATAGATATATAGATAGATAGATAGATAGATAG